GTGAGTTTGGGCAGAACCCTGTGTTTGCCGAGGCTGTCAGATATGGCCTCCTCACGCCAGCGCTATTCTGGTGCAATCTGTTGTAAACCACAAGGATGGGACTGAGCAGCTTTGCTTCTCCATGCTCTGGCCAGGGTGTCTTCGCTGAGGGGTTAGCTGTCTGGGCCTGCACCTCTCGGACGGCTTCCCAAGGCCTCCGGGAATCATGCTTGCAGGACAGAGACCCTCTGATCTGTCTTCCTAAATATAAGCTTACTTAGGACCCTGTCTACCTCACGTCCTGCTGTGCCTCTGTGAGAGATGTGTGCGCGCGCGCGTGTGTGTGCGCGCGTGTCTTTGTGTGCGTGTGTCTGTGTGTGTGTATGTCTGTGTCTCTGTCTGTGTGAGTGTGTGTGTATGTCTGTGTCTCTGTCTGTGTGTGTGTGTGCGCATGTGTGTATGTCTGTGTCTGTATGTGTGTGCGTGCGCGTGTGTGTCTGTGGGTCCGTGTGTCTGTGTGTGTGCACGCGTGTGTCTGTGTCCGTGTGTCTGTGTGTGTGTGTGCGCGTGTGTCTGTGTGTGTGTGCGCGCGCGTGTGTGTGTGTGTGTGTGTGTGTGGAGATAAAGAACTCCAAACCAATTCTTCTTTCAATGAAAGACACTGCTCCAAATCCACGTGGCACTACTGGTTGGGGTCTTTTTAACAGTTTTATTCTTCATAAATTTTCCTGCCAAGCAAGTTATTTGGAAGACTGAAGAATTCCCAGTGGCCAGAGGGAAGTTATGAAGATGAAAACTTGCATTTTAGATCATGAGAATTTTATTAATATGTTACTATTTTAAGCCACCATACAAAATCCTTTGTATTGATTTCAGTGTGATGTACCCGACTGAATAAATATGCCAATTTCTGCTGGGGAGCCAAACAGTATTTTTAACCTACTTTAAAATATGTGTTGTTTCCTATGATTTTTAAAGTTTGGAGTTGATTATGAAAGCGTTTTCAATTTTAAAAAAATTCTTTCCAGAGAATATACATGTATATTTTAAACTATTAAATATAAAGCTTAATGGGGTGGATAATTACCTTTTAAAACTACAAATAAAGGTTAAAAAACAGTGAAATGATTCTTTTTTGCTTGTGTATGTCATTATATTAGGAAATACCGCTACAACAAAGGAAAATTTGTGTAACAATTCTTTGAACGTACTACATACCCTTAATACGTATTTTTCCCCCTGATTGCTGCCCATGTAGGCAATTTAGCTTGTTTAGTGCATAACACTGTGTCCTTAGGGCCCTGCCAAAAACATCAGCATCTTCAAAAATTAGGGGAAAAGCAGAACAGAGAGCTAACACTTTTCAGACACTGGCTGATAGGCCCCTCGAGATGATAATGACACCATCACCATTTCATGGATGGCGATATGAGGAGTGGGAGAAGGTCATGGCCATGTTCAAGGGCGTTAGGCTGGTTCCAAATAGCACAGCCCAGGTTCTTGTCTTTCCCTTTCTTTAAAGTGGGTGGTAGGGGAGGGGAGGGGAGGGAAGGACTCTTTTGCGGCTCAAGGCCATTGGGAATATAAATGAGATGATCTTAAAGACTGCTTCGAGTTCTTGCTTAGAAAAGCATTGACGGACTAATGACTAGTATGATGGTTATTTTTGACTCGCACGAAATTTCCTGGTTGTGGACGGAAATATGAGATTTCCATCTCGTAAGATGATACCAGACGTTGCCCTTGCTGTGCAGAGCGAGAAACCTTAGAAAATTCAGGCGCAGAGGAAGGAGCCGCGCTACCTGGGAGTGACAGGTACACTGCAGCCTCAGAGCCAGAAAGGAGCACTCAGCGGCACAGAACCCAACACTGCCCGCAGACCTCGGCCGCCTGGCCCACAGGGAGCATGAATCCTTGGCATGGTCCCTCCCAGTGACGCAAGCCATGATCTCACAGGGTGGCCTACCCGTCTCCAGGTGGCTGACTGCTGGAAAGTCCTTCCTAATTTTGAGCAGAAACCCAAACGTGGGTGCTTTTCGTCCAATACGCATTGTTGCCTGAGATATAGTTTTGAGCAGCCCTTGCTATCTCCCCCCATGGCTATCCCCCGGCCCCCGGGGATTACCTGAAGTTGTAGCCCGGGGAGACATTGCTCTTCGCGGAAACACCGTCTAGTCTGGTGAAGGAGTATTTGGGGATGCACTGGTCCCAGGCCTTGTCCAAGTCGCACACCCAGCCGATCTTAATGCCCAGAACTCCGCCCTGGAGAGAGGCAGCAGCTATGAGTCTCCCGCAGCCCTCCGAATGGGGGCGGGGGGGGACGTGACAAACAGACAAGTGATTTTTTTGTATTCTCTAGGTGGAGGACTGAGGTAGGGAGAAAGAAAAGTGATTTGTCGGTCACACGCTGCTTGCTAAAGTACTGTAGCTCAGGGTGGCAGCCCTCAAGCCTCTAAATCCTGCATCGTGGGGGCCTTTTCGGAGCTCTCAGGCCTCCCTATCTGCAGGCGAAGTGTGAGGACTGCAATGGGAAACGGCTTGGAGGGAAGGGTGAGGGAGGCGAGACCGCTCAGGACCGCGGCGGGTAGAAAGGGTTCCGGCGCAAAGCCAGTGCAGGCCTGGGATGCTCCCGCCAGGTGGCGCTGCCTCACCGTCAGGTCCCCTTCCCCAGCATCCCTACTGCCCGCCAAAGGGCCGCGAAGTCCGGGGCAGGGCTGAGTCCCCACTCCGGTCGTGGAAGAGTGGCTGGGTCCTCACCGTGCTGGCCAGTTTGGCAAAATCCTGCCCCGCAAACTTGACCACGTCCCCCACCCGCAAGATGGGGCAGAAGGGGGCCTCGTCAGGGTGGAAGCGGCAGGTCTTTATGTCGGCAGCGGTCAGGTTGGGAAGAAGGTTTCCCCTGCGGAGGAGGAGAGGAGAGGCTGGGCGCAGGCTTGAGGTGAAGACCGTCACGCGCGAATTTCTCTCTAGCCTTCCGGAGCCTCCGCGCCTGCACGCCCGGGCGGGGGGACCTGAGACCTGATCTCCTGGACACCTGCCATCTCCCTCACCTCTGCGCCTTCGTCTTTCTCGTAACTCCTGTCACCATCTCTCCCGTCCCATGGGCATGAGCGTTCACGTCTCATATCGCCCGGCCCCCAGCTGGGGCTCCCAGGGGCCTGGCACAGAAACTGCCCCCAGAGTCCACCTAATACTCGGTGGTCAGTGCCGGCTGGGAGATTGGGACTAGAAGCCCCAGGGAGATGGCGAGATGGGAGGGGGGGGGAAGTGGGGAGGACCGTGGTGAGCAGGCAGCTGCACTTGGAAACCGAGGTGGCGGGGTGTGCTGCGTGCATTGCCTTGTGGCTGTAGAGAGGGAGCTGAGACTCACTTCTCAAAATTGAAGAGGGGGAAACGGATGCTGTTCTTGATGAAAATGGTGAAGTTCTCAGCTTCCATCATGACAGGCCTGCGGGCGAGAACAGGAGGAAGAGGAAGGGGAAACGAGAGGTGCTTTCGCCCCAGGAACCACTGTTTCTGGTGGACGCCACCCAACGGGCATGTGGTCACAGCCTTAGGCCTTGAGTCTGAGGGTCAGAGGGAGGGGACGGTGGTAGGCGAGAGGAGCTGGAAAAGATGCTTTCCTGAGGCCCCCTTTCTGCCCCAGGTGGTGATGACTGGAGGTGCCCACAAGACCCCTGGAAGCTCAGAGATGCAGAGCTCCCCATAGTGGCAAAGGAGAGCTGGGCTGGGGTCTCTGTCCTCCCATGTGGCTTGAGTCCTCACATTTCCACCGTGTCCACCTCAGTGGGGCACCAGCCCTGGATCTCACAGGTCCGGATCTCCGAGCTGTAATTCACGCAGCGGCCAGTGAGGATCCCTGTGATGGTGGGAACGCAGTGCTGGGTGCTTTACCACGTCCCTTCCCCACCCTACCCCTCCTCATCAGAGACCCCCCAACACACGCACGCACATGTGCGCACACGCACGCACACATGTGCGCACACACACGCGCATGCACATGCGTACACACACGCGCATGCACATGCGTACACACACGTGCAGGTGAGGGGAAGGACAGGCAGGACAAGGGACAGCCACTTGCGGCATGTTAGCCCCGCAGAGCTCTCCCCTTTTCACCCCCCCAAGCCCTACACACACGCGCATGCACATGCGTACACACACGTGCCCAGCCCCGGGCCAAGCCAATGGGAAGTGACAGCCCTCTTCTCAAGTGGCCCAAACCCCGCCACCCGAGGGCCCCTGTCCTCCTGTCCCCCGGTCACAGCCTGCTCTTCCTTGCCTCTGAGGCTCGGCTGTGCAGTTCTTTCTGCCTCGAATGCCCCTCTAAAGCTCCTCTCTCCTGCCACATCCTACCCAGTCTTCAGGGCCCATCTCAAATGTCACTGCCTCTAGGAAGCCATTTGGGACACATCTCTCCCTCCTCTGGCTCCCACGGCCCATGCCACCTCATGCACGCCTGTCTGTCACCCCGATCCCTGGACAGGGACCCCCTCTGAGGGCAGCCCCGCTGCCCTGGTGCACAGTAGGCATCTGTAAGTGTGGTGGAGGTAGGTGGTATTCTGTAATTCTCTCCTAGGCTGGGCCCTCTGCCATGGGGTTGTGCTGCCCTCCAGGGTCCTGCTACCACTTTGGGGTTCCACAGGGGTGGGGAAGGGGCTGCACTCACCCCCACCGGGGTAGCGCTGGGGCCCGCACTGGCTGTCTGATGCACAGCGGTACTTCTCCTCGCTCTGCGGACAGACAGGTCTGCAGGTGGGTGAAGGACCCTGTGCGGATCCTGGGGGAGCCCCTTAGTTCCCATCGCCTCCCCCAACCTGTGACCTCTGTGCGGTGGAGGTCTCGGGAGGTCCCAGGTCATAATGCCAGGCAGGACCTTGGCCCTCTGCGCACACCCACGTCTTCATCCACGTCCCCAACCCCCAAGCCCCAGCCACCAACACTCCCACAGTTTCTTCCTCGACTTGCTTTATTCAAACGCCCCCTCCCCTCACCTCTGGGCAGAATCCTTGTGTCTGGTTTTCAGTAACAATCATCTTGGTGATGATGACAAACACAGAGGTGCCCTTGGGAGGAGAAGAATGGAGAGAAAAACACAACAGTGTCAACTGCGAGGCGGGGCTATCGCTATGCCTGCTCTACAGGTGAGGAAACCTGGGCGTGGGTTAAGAGGTTTGGCCAAGGTCATGGGCTAGTAAAGGGCTGAGGTGAAACCACCCACCTGGCCCCTCTTGCTCCCTCTGTGTCATCCTCAATTACAGGACAACTTGTGACAGGGCCTGTGCTGCGCACGGGTGGGCAGGCCCAAGCTACCCCAACGCCTTCCAGCTGCTGGGGAGGGGGCGCTCTGCATCATCGATGCCACAGATTCTGGGTTGGGGATCCTGCGGACAACCTCCTTGACTTGTCCCCTCCCCTTCAACCTGCCCAGTGTCTGGGCATCTACATAGCGATTCCGGGGTTGGGGGGGACCATACCTGGGGTGGTGTCACATAATCAGACACGTCCATGACTCGGTTGGCGTAGCGTCCGAAGCCCTTCACCTTGGTTACCACCGAGGACTCGATGGCTGTGTCTCGCACCTGGTATGCCTTCTCGTACAAGAAAACCCAGCTGGGCAGGAGAGTGGGGATGGAGAGTAAGAGAGGAAGGTGTGGGCCCATCGGACTGAAGCCAGGAGGGGACCCCTTCCTGCCCACATTAGGACGACAGAGGCGCCTGGCAGGGGAGGCCCGTGCTGGAGGTGTGGGACTCTGAGTGAGTTCTGGCTTGGCTTAGAGTAGTGTGTCTCCATCTCCCCCGCCCCCCGCCCCATTTCCTGCTTAAAGAGCATTTTTAGACTTTTTTCCCTCCTAATTGTCCTCCCTCCATGAAATTTGATACTATAGGTACCAGTTTATGTACTATGTGTATATTTGTGCTTTTCACATAAAAAGAGTGAGATATTTTTCTTTCCTCAGGTACCAATTTTCACCCCTAGAGGGTGATATCACCTCCTTGAGAACACATTATCATTCCTGTTGATGACGGAGGCCACCTCTTTGGCAGGCATCCGGAGAAGCAGAGGAACCTAGGCCTCTGACCCTGGGCATCCCAGACTTTGTTCACGTCCGCATCTAAGTGCCAGCGCATAGAAGGTGTTCAATAAACAAGTCAATGAAGGCAGAGTGTCCTTCTGTGCAAGCCTCAGGTGAGAAAGATGGAGGGGCAGCGGCTGAACCTTTACCTGGCAGGTAAATGGAGCTGGGCTGGAAGAGTGGAGGGGCCTCTAATGATATTCCTTGGATTGTGCTGCCACCCAGTGGACATTTACCTGTACTGGCTTCTTCTTGCTGCTTCCAGCCATTACCGGACCATGTGGATCAGAGAGGGACCCTTCCGCTCGTCCATCCCCACCTTCCTCCCAGACTCTCGCAGCCTTCACTAGCAGCCAGAAAGGCCTGCAGACAACTCTCCCCTCTGCACTTCTGCGAGGTGCCTGCCTTCCCATCGCAGCCCTCAAAGGCTCGGGCCGCTCTTGGCCCCAGTACCATGTTTCCAGCTGCAGGCCCAGCCCCGTTTGTCCCTGACAGCACACGGGGAGGCAGATGCTGTTACTGTCCCGATTGTACCGTCGAGAAAACCTCGTCGAACGCGACTGGAGAATGCTGCGCACTCTCCGGCGACGTCTGTGGAATCTGGGAGTGCACGTTTAGAAATGCTGGGGTAGGGTCATTTTTTGCATGCTAACCAGGATGGTGCAAGGTTGGAGAGCCTCAGCAGATGCAGATGAGGGGAAGGAATTGGGGATGGTGTAGCACAAAGAAGACAAAGCTGGGGGGCAGGGCGCGGCCTCGGCTGGGAAGCCGCTGGGGGCAACGCGTGGACTGACCTGAGCACATTATAAGGAGGGAGTTAGACCTCGAGCCCAGGGCCTTTCTAATCCCAGGGAGTGGCCCACGAGTGGAGTGGGCTGCCGTGGGAGGCGGTGAGCACCACAGGCCTGGGGGGCGGGGTTCTCAAGGAGACGCCATCCTTGGGGGTAGGCTGGACTGGGTGACCTCTCGGGTCCCCTGAAGTTGGAAAATGCAGAAGGGAGCAGCTCCTGGGTCATTATGGAGGTCACGCTCACTTGCGGGGTGGGTGCCTGCCTGTCACGTTTACACGGACACAGGCTGGCATTTGCAAGCAGCTACTTGCCTGGTTCTCAGTCAGAGGGTCCAGAGTCACCCCCATCACTGGGGCCTCCCTCACTGCTTGAATTCCGCTTGCTCTCTTGAGTGGGAGAGAAAGGACGGAGTCCCAGCCAGCTCTGGCGGACGGCTCCGAACCTGTCACCTGTTTTATTGCTGCTGCCTTAGAGCGGGCCACGTCCTGATTAATGCCCCATTAAGAGCTATTCGCATGCTTGTATAACACTCCTCCAAACACCCTGCCTCTGCGGAAAGCCCAAGGAATGGTGTGCCTTACTTTCCTAGCACTTTTCTTCTTTTTTTGGAAGGGGAGGTGTTCCATCGAGGTCTCCCAAGCGAGTGTGGCTCACAGAGAAATCTCAACTGTCATATTATGTCCTAGCAGAAGAGACGGGAGCATCCCCGTTACAGAAAACTGCCCCCACAAGCATTCATAGCTCGCGGCTGGGCCCTGCGGAGGGCCAGGAGGGCGGTCTCAGCCCCAGGCTCTCTGCTCCGAGCTGAGGGTGCTGCTGTCACTGCTGCACGCTCACCCGAGTGGATGTCCCAGCCGCAGCACATCCCCTGGGACCTCAGTGTGCCTGGCCGCTGAATGGACACACCTCAGAGTGCTGGTCTATGAAATGGTTTCCTGAGGCCCCTCGCCCCCACCCCAGCCTTTCAAGTCCGGGAACATTTGTGGATGAGAAGCAGAATTCGGATTGTTATTATCATATAAGCAACACAGCGTGCTAAGTGCTGTGTGTATTAAGGACTCATCGAATCCTTACCGCAAGCCAACGAGGCAGCTTCGTTACTCTCATTATGCCGCAAATAAGACAACTGAGGCACAGGGAGGCGTGCTGACTTGCCAAGCTAGTATGTGGGTTCCGACCCAGGCTGAGCTGTAGGGTCTCCAGCTGTGTTCCACAGCTGGGCCCCTGAACTGGGTCCTCATCCTTATCCTGCCGGCCCCTGCCTGTCAGTCACCAGGGAAAGCATCTCCTAGCTTAAGAAAGTCTCAGGGAGAAGGGCCGAGGGATCAAAGGAACAATGAATTAACCAATCTCTTCCCTCCTCCTCCCCCCGCTCCCCCTCCTCCTCCTCCTCCTCTCCCTCCAAAGCTCCTTCTTGTGCCCAGTGGGGAGGAGAAGCCAAGTCTGAATTCTCTCTCGAAGTTAAATAACAAGTGGAAGAATCTAGGTGGCCCCACGGGGATGTCATCGTGGCAGCTTGAACTAAGGGGGTGCTTCATTTCCGGAGCAGAGGGGCCGGGTCTGTCCCTCGAGGCCAGGGCGGAGGCAATGGGGCAGGACTGAGCCTTCAGTTCTTGGCATTTACTCTGCTGCTGACTTATTTTTTCTCATGTTCCTGGTTTATTATTTATAGAGCGGAAAGCGGGTGGCAGCTCCTTGGCAGGTGGGATGTGCAGGAAGGAGGCCAGAGCAGCACCCCAGCACCCTCCTGTCCACCCCCAGGAGTCAGGGAGGAGGCCAGGGAGTGGGTGTGAGGGGCGTGTGTTGTGTGTGCCAGGAAGAGAGGGGTCTCTCGAGAAGGTGTGAGCTGGGTAGAGGAGAGTGGGGAGGCGTGATGGGGAGTCCATGAAATAATAAGGGTTACCACCTATTACTGAGTCACCCAACTCAGGTGAGTCCCTGACATGTTACCTGCCCTCCCCACAACTCCCCGGGAGAGGCATCCTAGTCCCATTTTCCAGATACAGACTGAGACTTAGAGATGTAAAGTGACCCGTCTAAGCCTCACGCCCACTTGGTGTCACAGCGAGGCTGCTAACCAGGTCCATGTTCCATGGTGTCCCCATGTGCATAGGGCCTTGCAGGGGAGGCGCAGGATGGGGGGAGCAGGGCGGTGATGGACGACGGACGATGGACGGAGCGTCAGAGGGCTGGGACTGCCCTCTCTGCTACTTTACAGGGAGGTGGCTTCCTCCAGGAAGGACCTGGAAACCAACCTCAGGCCATACTCTGACCAGCGCCTCTGGGGACTCAGGCCCCAGGGATCACCTTCTACCTCTTCCTCAGGTCCCCACAGGATCAGAAGAGATTGACTCTTAGGAAGTCTCGCTCGACAGAGGAGACCGGATTACCACCTGGGCCCAGGAAAGGCGATATGAGAAACACCAGGTAAGTCCTGGCCTCTCTGTGCACCTGGGGTGCATAAAGGAAACTAGTGACGAAGTGACGTCAACCACAGATGAGCAGCAGAGGCTAGAGGCAGGGGCGAGAGCATGCGTGGAGAAATGCCTGGCTCGTGTTACACGCGGCTTCGATAAGGTTGTGCATCTGGTCTACCGGACAGGCACTCTATGGAAGAGATTCCAGGATTAGCTAAGCATTAACATCACAGCATTAGAAATCCTTTCAAGTTCTATGGAGTCCAAGCCACAGTCATCTTTCTCCGTATGATTACGCCACCGTTAAACACATTTTCCCACATCCCCTCCTCCTATTCCAATCCCCTGGCGTATCAGACAGGGGGACCGACCCAACTCGGATCTCAGCAGGTCTGTCCACCTCTCTCAGTAGCTTCTCATCCATTCCTCTTCCGTAAAAAGGACAGACCTGCGGGGTCTGCGGTCTGGCCTCCATCTGCGACCCCGCCCCCGTCCTACGTCACCCTTGCCTTTGCTCCCCCTGCTCCAGCCATAAAGACCTTCTTTCCTTCTCCCTATTAGCCAGGCCCTTCCCCTTTGCAGAGCTGGCTTTCTCTGCCTTGAACTCTCTTCCTTCCCTTCTCTCACCCAGGTTGCTCCTACTCACCCTTCAGATCTTGGCTGGAATGTCACATAATGCAGAAAAGCTTCCCTCAGTTGCCCAACCAAGTCGAATACCTCTCTATATACGAGCAGCTCTCCGAGCACCATGTGCCTCTTCTTTGAACCCTGAGCCACAGCTGAAATTTTACATTTGTTTGCAGAAATTATTTCATTAACGTCCATGTCCTGTATTCTAAGCTCCACGAGGGTGAGGATCCTGTCTGCTTTTGCCCACCGTTCTATTCTCGGTGCACAATGCCGGGCATGAAGAGACGCTCAGTAAATTTTTGCTAAATTAATGCCAACGGATTCAGGAAGTCCTAAGGGTGCATGGGCTCACGCGCACAGGGATGGGGCTCAGGCTGGGGGGCTGGGCTGCAGAATGCACTGATGTAACTGGAAGGAGCTGCTCTGTGGGGACCTGTCAGGCTGGGAGATGGATGGGGTTGAATATTAAGATGCCAAAGAGCCTCTCATGCTCGCTCCAGCAGGCCAGGCTCCAGCACTGAGGGTCAGAGCGTCAGGCTGGATCATGATGAGGAAGAGACAAGGGCTGTGGGGGCGCTGAGCAGGCTGGTCCAGGAGCCGGCTGTCTCTACCCACCCTCCATCGATCTCCTGCCTGGAGCCAACGAAGCCAGGCCAGGCCAGGAATGTGCCGAGGCAGCTTCTGCGCTCACCTGGACCAACGTACTGTCTGGTGGCTACACGTAAAAATCGCAGCATCACACATGCACATGAACATGGAGTGTTTAAGAACCAACTTTGAGCCCGGGCTCCGGAGATGCGCACATGAAACATTTGCACCCGTCATATCTCATAAAACCTCAAACTTAGAAGACGACTTCAAGGTCATTTAACCCTACCCCAAAGCTTGAGTTCCTTCTCTAATGTCCTCACGAAGAGCCTTGTCTACAACACCGGCATAACCGAAGCTTAGGATAGGACTCTTACCAAGCACGCGGAGCAAAAATCCCTCAATCCGTGTCTACCCACCTGTCCACACACACCCTCACACACTACTGAGACCTCCAGGCAAGGAGCCCCCGCCCCCACGCACACAGGACGTCTCCTTTGACTTGCGTGAATTAACTCCTGACAGCCGTCAGTGGCTTGCTGTCTCTCATACACAGACCCATTGTCTCAAGGAACAGCGTGAGACTAGAGACCTGCACACCAGGAAAGAAAAACGCAGAGGTTTTGGCCCGTATTTCCTGGTGTCCACCAGTGTGTGCGAAGGACAGAACCTGTGTTTTCTCCTGGCCGTTGTGTGTCCCGTGGCCGTATTTCCTGGTGTCCACCAGTGTGTGCGAAGGACCATGAGAAGGACAGAACCTGTGTTTTCTCCTGGCCATTGTGTGTCCCGTGGCTCTTTGTGCGCGCGCGCGCGCGCGCGCGTGTGTGTGTGTGTGTGTGTGTGTGAGGGGGACGTGGCTCTTTGTGCGTGTGTGGGGGGGCACCTCCAATAGGTGGGGGCCGAGAGGGGTGTTCAGACCTCGCTGTCTCCTAAGCATCTCCCAGGATGGGTGTATGGTACAAAGTCAGGTAGAAGTAGGGAGTTTACGCTCTCTGACAAAGGGGAGTGTTTCCGGCTTCTTGTGGAGGGACGCTGCACCCCATTCAGAAAAGCCACTTTCCTCCTCAATGGCTCTTCCCTTGAGTGTTAATGGTGCCTGTGTTGCTCCCTCCCTCCCAAGGGGCAGACCCCCTGCTTTGTCCTACCCTCCAAGAGCAAGGGCCTCTTCCCTCTCCCCACACCAGGAGGGGATCCCTCACTCTGAAGCAGATTCCCTCCCCCAGCTGGCCCTCCTTACACCCCCCAATCAACCTTCACTGGCTCCCTTGTTTCAGTGCCTTCCCGTCCTCTTTCCCGTCATCTCGTCTTTTTGAGACCCCAAAGAGTTCCCTGAGGTGAATGGGCAGACGTGAGTGTGGGAGTCTGTCTGTTCTCTGGTTAGGGGTGGGGATGAGAGAAAAGGGGAGATGGTCACCTGGGACCGCTCCTGGTGGAGGGTAGTGCCAGGCGAGGACTCCCCTTGAGCTGGGAGTCTGCAGGCCACTCTCCGACTGCAGAGGATTTACTTGGAGAAAGGACTCAGCTCAGGACAAGAACCCCTGTCCCCCAGGGGGCCCCAGAGGCCAGTCCTCTGGATGCGGCTCCAGAATAGACAGTTTTTCCGAGAGGAGCAGCTTAGGAAGCTGGACTGCAACTGAGGGGAGAATGGGTCGAGGACGCTGGGCGGCCCTCCCCTCCTGGGACCTGAAGGGCCACAGACTCACCCCACAAAGTAGGAGATGATCAGAAGCTGAACTGCTCGGTTGATGATCCCAATGGTCCAGCTCTTCACAACCACCGACTTAGTGGTCTCGTAGGTGAAGAAATCTGAAATACAGTTCATGTTGAGTGTTCGAGGGCCACTCAGAAGGGACTGAACGGTGGCCTCAGGAGGGAGAGGTCCTCAGACGGAAAGACGGAGATCAAGGCCTAGAGAGGGTAGCTTAGAGGGGACTGAGGAATGGGAGCCTATTCCTTTAAGTCAGGCAACCCTAGCCCAGTGCCCAGGCTCTCCGCTCTTGACACTCTGGGCTGCCAAGAGTCCAAGGCCAGGGCGGGGGACCCCTTTTTGTTGTCTCCACCCCACTCCCCTGTGATGTCACGGCAGGGGTGGGGTCTCCAATCCCAGGCTCCTGATTGCCTGGGATCCAGCTGGCTAGGGCCCTCTGGGATTCATGTTTTATCCGCACTCTGTTTACCGTTTCTGTTCCGTTCTCATATGCAGCATCTTCATCCCAGCTCACCGGCTGCTTTAAGCTCGCCTTAAAGCCCTTTGCAAGGCCCCAGCCCCTAGCCACCTAATAGCCTGCCTGATCTGAGTACTCCCTTCATTCCTGTGTTCCTCAAGCCACTCAATTCTGCAGCCATCTCCTCCCTTCCCAAGTTGCCTCCAATAGTATGGGGCGGGGGAGGGGTCTCAACCATTTCCCTTGGTCTCCTGCGGGGATGGGGGTTGAGTAAAGACTCACAGTTCATATTTCTAACTCAAATTGGCAGTGGCTGAAAAGCTACCTGTAGCACAGCATTATCACATTGGGTTTTTTTTTTTTTGGTTGTGTTTTTGTTTGTCAGTTTACTTATCCGAATCGTTTGTTAGATTATATGCTCTTAGAACACTGGTGTTGTTCTCATCTTGTTCACTAGTTTCCTCAAATCCTAGAACTCTGTTGGCGCTCAACACATATTTATCAAACCCAGTTGAATTTATGTTGCTAGATAGTATTGCAGTA